TGGACTAGGTCCCCACATGACCCGGAAGACCATGTGCTGTGCCCTGGATAAGATCTGGGGCAGTTTATCTTGACTAGAAGCTGACAGAGTGGCAGAGGCCATGCTCAGAGGCCTGTGCCTTCAAGGATGGCTTCCTGAACATTGCTGGGAGAAATACTTGGCTGCTGAGCTGGTGTGTTAGATCTTAAAACAAACTTCATCAGGACTCACAGTCCTTGTCAGTTTAGAAGATCCCTCCTCCCCAGTCAAAATGCCTCACCTTTCTCAGCCCTGTGTGACAAGCTGAGCGACCCACCCTCCCTCCACACACACCTTGCTCCATGCATACCTGTAAATCAGACTATTTACCCCTTCTAGATGATAATATTCTCTATTTCCCTGGTGCTGCACAACCTGAACACAGTAGTGGAACTCGATTGGCCAGAGAGGACAGGTGGGACCCGCTCCATCCGAGGGGAAGTATGGCTACTTACCTTCAGACGTTAGCATCTTCAGGGGAGAATGGGGCTGTTCTGTCGGTCCTCTGCTCTTCCCAGGGTATGGGCCCTCATCCCTTAGGACATGGGGGAGGCATTGTCAAATGCCAACAAGTTAGTAAAAAAGAGATACAGAGAGTTTTGTGGGTAGAACTTGCTTGCCTTGTTTCTGTGGCCCTGAATAGGAGTTGAACATCTTGTTTTTAGGGACCATACAATTTAGTGGCATGTGGGACTTAAAAATTTCACATTCATAGGTTCTTAATTTTCTTTGTTAAGTCAGGGCTGCAATGCTTCAGGGTCCTTAGTTCCCTACATTGTTTGGTGTTCTTAAGACCCATGCTGTCTGTATTGGGGATGGCAAGAATGCGGATGGTTGGGCCACATGAACAGCATTCTTCCATCTGACAGCCAGCTTCCACTATACCACTTACACTCCATCATGAGAAGCCTTTGCTGAGACCTGAAGAAAGGACCTTTCAGGAAAATGAGTATTCAGAAACTAAAGAGAAGGGCGGGTACTCTCCACAGCTCCTGCTTCCCTCTCTCTGAGGGCAGAAGCAGTAGCGTGGTGAGCGTGCTACCCTGATCAGCTCCCTGAGCACACTGCACTCTGAAAGCCTTCCTTGTAACCCTGCACTTTCCCTCACAATCAGATTCTGTAGTGACTATCAGTGGAGAAACCCCAATTTTGTGCTTGCTTGGTAAAAGTAAATTTGAACATTTTATGGTGGTTGATAGAACTTTGTCCTAAATTTTGCTAATTCAGGCTCTTTAAAACCCTAATGTTTATACCAAAGGTTACACTGCAGGCCTGGGTGGTACACAGAGGGCGAAGCCCACAGTGGGCACTGTGTGCATTGCTAAGGGGACACAGTGCCCAGTGAGACCATGTGGGACTTAGCTAAAACATGTCAGTCATGGGTCACACTACCACTATTGTCAAGTATTTGTTCCTAATTGTTACTGTAATATATTTTTGATTGTTTTTCTAATTTAATTCTCTCATTCTGTTGTCTGACTGTGAACTGCTAACAGTGTTAAACTTGATGTAAATAAATGATGCCCTTGGCAGGGACTGCTTCCTGTCATATCTCACATGGTTTGCAAGTTGTGTTTTGTTTTAAATAAAGGTTGAAGTATTTTATCGGCAAAGTGGGCTTGAGTTTGGAGTATTTCTCCCAGGATTTTAATTGAGAGGGCAGCTAAGCAGATCTTTATAGGTGTACAGTGGATGATCAGTGAGCATCCCTCTAATACATCCTTCTGGAGTGGGCTGTGATACGGATCCGCATCCTGTGGTGAGTGTTGTGCGTACAGCACCTTCCGGAGCCTGGGCTGGCTAACATCAGGTAGGTCATGTGTGGTTATGTGTCCAACGTGTATGGACTACACAGAGACTTGATTCTCTGAAAATCCATTCTGAACACAACTGCAAATATGTTCTTAGATTGTCTTGACATGTATTAAACAGAGTAAGTATAGATCCTCAAAGAGAGTATTCTTAATCAAAATTATTTACCTCTTTATTTTTTCATGCTTACAAGACAGGCATGTGTCCTTTCCAAGGTGGCCTCAAATTTGCCATGCAACCAAAGATGAACTTAGATTCCCCCCGCTGGGGTTGCTGTTGTATGCCACCACACTGTTCATATGGGTGCTGGCAGTTGAACCCAGGACTTCATACATGATAAGCACTCTTAACAACTGACCCACATTTCCAGGTCCCAATACCTTTTTGCCACATTTGTACACATTCATCGAGGACAGTGTGGCCAGCGGCTATCATGACAAAGTCAGGTAAGAACTCGGTCATGGTGTTCGTCTGCAGAGTGTTTCAGAAGAGCTAACAGTGAAGATTCTGAATGCTCTCACCACAAGGAAATCTGGTCATGGATATTCTAAATACCTGAGTTGGTTTCTGCAGTGTGCGCATGTATAGAAGCAGCGGGGTTTCACTGTCAGCCCTCCTGACCCCTGGGCATTGGTAGTCCTTCTCCGCATGATGAGCTCCCTGACACAGCACGAGTGGGGTCAGACAGCGTTGACCCTGACTTATTCCGAGCAGCACGTCTTCCACATTGATCCATGCCACTGTTTCTCATGCTCTGTGTGTGCATCCACGTTCAGGACCCCATCATCTACTGATGGACTCCGGCTGCTTCCGTCTCACGCCTCGGCACAGTGCTGCCCTGAACACATGCTCCAGTGTCTGTCTTACATGACTCCATTTCTCTTCACTCCCTGTAGTGGGATTTGTGTTCCTATTTCAGCATTCCCAAAATTCTGTGTACACTGGAATGTTATACATTGTAGCATATTTAAAGCTGTTGAAGTGTGTTTTAAATAAATTTTTAATGTCTATAAAATACTTGAGTATTGTGATGTTTTAAATCATTGTATACACTGTATGTTGAAATTATATAGCCGTGCGGTGGTGGTGCATGCCTTTAATCCCAGCACTTGGGAGGCAGAGGCAGGCGGATCTCTGTGAGTTCGAGGCCACCCTGCTGGTCTACAGAGCTAGTTCCAGGACAGGCACCAAAGCTACAGAGAAACCCTGTCTTGAAAAACAAAACAAAACAAAAAAATATGTTAAACATCACTTCCTCGTATTCATTCCTAGTTTTTTATTTTGAAAATAGTCTCACTACATTGTCCTGACTGACCTTATCCTTGCTGTGTAGACCAGGCTGGCTTTGAACCCTAATCGTCCTCAGAATGATAAAATTACAGGTATGGGCCACCATGCCCAGCCTCAAACCCTTCTAGCCAGTTATTTAAGTGTGCGGTACCCTCAGAGGCCAGAAGGACTCCCTCTGTTTTCTTAGGGTAATTTTATAGTTTCAGATTATACATTTTTATATTTAACTCAAATTTTGTTGTTTTAGCTTTTTGTTTTTCCTTTTTGTAGTACTAGGGACCACATAGGCTAGGAAGATATCACTGAGATATATCTCTAGTCCTTGGTCTTTTGAGTCTAGGCTGACCTTGAGTTTTGAATCCTACACCTCTGCCTTCTAAGTGCTGGGGTTACAGGTGTGCACCTTTGTGCCAAGCTATACTTAATGCTTTGCATGACTACTATACCATTTCCATAGTGTCTGTGCTGGTTTACCTTCTCCCCAGTAGTGTCTTACAGGTCCTTTCCGTAGCCTCCCTAGGGGTTGTTGTCTTAATTTTCCGATTGGGGTAAGGTCTGTCCTCTGAGTTAATCATGGTTCCTTTGGAGGGAAGACAGGAGCTCATGCAGCTTAGATTAACAAGCCCCTTCCTCTAGGCCACCTGAGCACTCAGTTGCTGCAAACGGGAGAGACTGGTGGAGTTGCTTATTTGTTAAGCAGAGAGCTCCAGGCTGAAGCTTTCTGAGTCATACCCATGCTAGGATAGACTTTCTGGTGATGTAGCACCTGAAAATAGCCCAAGTTTCTGTACATCACCCCTAAATTCATTGATTTACCAAGGTAGACTTGGATGAAATCATCCCTCTGGTTCAGCACTGGTGCCCTGTCAGAGGTGAACAGAAGTTTGTTCAGATCGTCTTTATCAGGCAAAGCTGCATGATACGTGCACAGTTCGATTAACTTTTCTGTTCCATAGGATGAATACTTGGCTGTTGCTTTTGTCTCTCTTCTAAGACTTTAAAAAAAAAAGATTATGTGCCATTAAGTGTTTTGTCTGCATGTATGCGTGCATCACATGCATGCGTGTTCCCACAGGCCCAGAATAAAGTGTTGGGTCCCCTGGGACTGGAGTTAGAGGTAATAGCCATCATGTGGATGCTGGGAACTGAACAAGTACTCTTCGTCACTGAATTCTCTCTCCAGCCCACTGGTCTTTTGAAGAGCATCTGTTGTCTTCAAACTTGTTGAAGTTTTAATGGACTTATTTGTTGAGCTCTTTGAGCTCCTTCTATATTCTGGAGAATAACTCAGTGTCACTAACATAAGTTGTCTCTTCCTGATGGTTTATTTGGCCTTTGGGCTTTTTAGTTTGATGAAATCCTTTTGTCATTTATTGCTACTTTACTGCTTTGCTACTGGGGTCTCTTCCAAAAAAATCATTGCCTGTACCAAGGTCTTCAAACATTTGTGTTCTAGTTTCAGGTTTTACATGTAAGTCTTTAATCTATTTTGCATTGGTTTTATATGTGGTGAGAGCTAAGGTCTACATACACACAGCCACATTACCCAAAACCATTTATTATAGAGACTCCCCTTCCTCTGTTGCACTTTCTTGATACCATTGTAAAAAGTCTTTTGGCCTGAAGAGCATATATTGTATTTCTCTGCATTCTGTTTCATTGGTGTGTGTTTATGTCGGTACCATGATGTTTTGGTACTATACTTCGTAGTATCTTTCAAGTTAGGTAATACCATACAGCTGTGTCCTTTTTGTTTGAATTCCTTTGGCTACTTAAGGATTTGTAGTTTCTTAAAAATTTTGAAATCATTTTCCTATTTGTGTGAAAAATGTCATCTTAGGGTTTCTGCTGCTGTGAGGAGACACCACGACCATAACAACTCTTATAAAGGAAAACATTTAATTGGGATGACAGCGTAACAGTTTCAGTGGTAAGTCCATCATCGTCATCGTCAGGAGCATGGTAGCATGCAAGCAGATAGATGGGCTGGAGCTGAGGGTGCTACTTCTTGAAGGCAACAGAAAGTTGGCTGAGATACTGGGCGGTATCTTGAGCAAAGAAAACCTCAAAGCCTGTCTCCAAAGTGACACACTTCCTCCAATAAGGCCACACCACCTAACAGTGCCACTCCCTATGAAAATATGGGGGCCAATTACATTCAGACTACCAAAGATGTCTTGATAGGCATTTCATTGACTCTAGATCACTTTGGCATTGTGGACATTTTATGCTGTTAAATCTGCTAGCTGATAATCATGAGTGTTTCCAGTCTTTCTCATCAGTGCTCTTTAGTTTTCAGTGTAGGCTATTTCACTTCCTTGGTTACGTTATTCCTAAGTATTTTATTATAATTGTAAATAAGTTTGTCTTTTTTTCTTTTTCAGATAATTGGCTGTTAATGTATATAAACTACTGATTTTTAAATCCTCCTGCCCACACATAAGTGCTAGAATTAACAGATAAGCTCATCATTCTTTATATGTATATATTTTTTTTATTTATTAAAGATTTCTGCCTCCTCCCCGCCACCGCCTCCCATTTCCCTCCTCCTGCCCCGGTGAAGTCCCCCTCCCTCATCAGCCCAAAGAGCAATCAGGGTTCCCTGCCCTGTGGGAAGTCCAAGGACCAACCACCTCCATCCAGGTCTAGTAAGGTGAGCATCCAAACTGCCTAGGCTCCCACAAAGCCAGTACGTGCAGTGGGATCAAAAACCCATTGCCATTGTTCTTCACTTCTCAGTAGTCCTCATTGTCCGCTATTTTCAGCGAGTCCAGTTTTATCCCATGCTTTTTCAGACCCGGGCCAAGCTCATCATTCTTACCAGTTGTCTTTGATTTTTTTGTTTTGTTTTGTGATTTGAGACTGGGTTTCTTTGTTTAACAGCCCTGGCTGTCCTGGAACTCATTTTGTAGACTAGGCTGGCCTAGAACTCAGAGGTCTGCCTACCTCTGCTGGGACCAAAGGCATGCGCCATATTGCTTTTTATTATTATTATCATTATTATTATTATTATTGTATACAGTATTCTCAGTACTCTGCCTGCAGGCCAGAATAGGGCACCAGATCTCATTACAGATAGTTGTGAGCCACCATGTGGTTGCTGGGAATTGAACTCAGGACCTCTAGAAGAACAGCCAGTGCTCTTGACCTCTGAGCCATCTCTCCAGCCCCACCACGTTGCTTTTATACTTGATTTTTTGAGGGTGTTTTTTTTTTTAAACATTAAGAGGTTTTTCAATTGATTTTTCTGCATCTATTGAAATGATCATATAGTTTGTACCTTTCATTCTGCTAATATGATAGATCACATTTAATCATTTACAGAGATTGAACCATCCTTGTATACCTGTAAAGAATTCCTTTTGCGCCGGGCAGTGGTGGCGCACGCCTTTAATCCCAGCACTTGGGAGGCAGAGGCAGGCGGATCTCTGTGAGTTCGAGGCCAGCCTGGACTACAAGAGCTAGTTCCAGGACAGGAACCAAAAGCTACGGAGAAACCCTGTCTCAAAAATCCAAAAAAGAAAGAAAGAAAAAAAAAAGAATTCCTTTTGGTCATAGTGATGTTTTTGTTGTGATGTTTTAGGCTGTATGTTGTTAAGGATTTTTGCATCTGTGTTCAGCAGGAATGTTGGCCTATAGATTTTTGGGTTTGGCGTGGGGTTTTATTGTTTTTATTTTATGTCCTTGTTTGATTTTGCTATCAAGGTAATACCTCATGGAATGAGTTTGGTAGTACTCCTTCAATTTTGGGGTAGCTTCAATAGAATTAGTGTTACTGTTTGTTGTTTAATAAAACCAACCTTAAACTTAACCCTCTTTTCCCAATCTCCTTGGTGCTGGGATTACTACTGTGTTTCACCACACCCAGATTTATTTGAGAATGGGTTTCTCAACACAGCTCTGGCTATCCTGGAACTTGCTGTGTAGACCAGGCTGGCCTTGAACTCACAGAGATCCAGCTGACTCTGGATTAAAAGGCATGTGTCACCTTGCCTTTCTCAGACTTTAACTCTATTAAGGTAGATTTAAATCTACTAAGGTAGATTTCCGCATGAAGCTTCTCTTTGATGTAAGACTTAAAAAAAAAAATACTTGTTAAAAGTCTGTTTGGGTTGTTTACTTCCTCATGATTTAATCTTGGTAGGTTTTGAACATACAGAAATTTGTCTATTCTACATAATCTAGGTTATTGGTGTATAATCATCAGTTTTTTTTAATCCTTTGTATTTCTATGTTACCAGTAGTAATATCCTCCTTTCTATGGATTATTTAATTCTCTTTCCCCACCCACCCTTTCTCTTAGCTGGTAAAGGTCATGTTTATATTTCAAATATGAAGGAAGAACTAGCAGCCTTTTCACTGATCCCTAGTTTTGCTTTAGTTTTTAGCATCCAGTCCAATGTCTTTATTTAGAAACAAGGTCTTGGGCCTGGGGATCAGCAAAGTGTTTGCCTAATGTGCAAGAAACCCTGAGTCTGAGCCCAGCACCAAATAAATCCAGGTGTACTGGCACCTGCCTGTAATTACAGCACCAGGCAGATGTTGGCAAAACAGTCAAGGTCATTTTGGGATGGGGGGGGGGGGCGCACACCTTTAATCCCAGTGCTAGGGAGGCAGACGGTTCTCTGAGTTCAAGACCAGCCTGGTCTACAGAGCTAGTTCCAGGACAGGCTCCAAAACCACAGAGAAACCAAAAAAAAAAAAAAAAAAAAAAAAAAAAATCAAAACCAAAAAAAGACAAAAATCAAGACAAGGTCTTCGGTATATAGCTCCAGCCAGTCTCAAACTCACTAGACAGCCCAGGTTTTCTTAAGCTTGGCAGCCTCCTGCCTCAGCTTTCCGAGTGCTAGAATTATAGGTGTGCTGCCATCCTCGCTATTTCATTTCCATGGTTTTCCACTGCGATGTTAGTGTGCCAATTGTGGGCACAGTGCTTGCTACGCTGAGATGTATATATTGGCGTCGCTCCTCAGAGGTCTCGTCTCAAGTCAGGATTTTCCAACTTAATCTCTCCACTGCTCTGTTGTTCTAGAGTGTTTCTGGAAGTTTCTGCAGCCTCTCCTCTGCATTTCCACTTGTATGCCCTTGTGATCATGAGATATTTCTAGGATTCTAGTTCTGTTAGGTTAGTACGAGCTGTTCAGCACTGTCAACATGGCCTGTGGGGGAGAAACCTGTGTGTGGCTCCTGGACGGGACGGGGTCTCCATGGCTTTGTCGCAGCCCCAGCTGTCTTCCTGCTCTTCCTCCTGAATAGGGATGATAGGCATCGCAACACCTGCCTTGAACAAGAAATCTACGTTTTACTGGGCATCATGTAGTCTGCTCTATAAGAAGTCGGAATTGTTAGGTCTCCATCCCTGGCTAGGCAGCAGAGCTCCTAAACTTTGTGAGCTGCTGTTGGCTGTTCGAGATCCTGCTTTCAAGCCATGCTGCTTTACATGCTGGACTCAGTACTCCCTAAGCTAAAGCAGGCGAGTACCCAATCACTAGGTCTCAGTAAGAAAGGAGGCCAACATTAGAAAAATACAAAATTTAATCTACACATAGTACATTCTGTAGCAAGGCCCCTAATTAAAAAAAAAAAGTTTTCGGTCTAAAGAACAGAACATGCCTTAGCTACACACCCGTGATGTGGACCTCTTGAGCTCTCTCCCGTATTGGCCTACTCAGTGCTGGGATCACAGGTCGTGCCCCCATCATTGGCATGTTTTGAAAGCATGTGGTTTTCCCTTTACCTAAGGCCCCCTTTGCTGTTCTGCTCGCACACAGAAGCTGGCCCACGCCTACAGACTGGATGGAGCACACTCCCGCTGAGCCACAGATCTGTTTATCCTTCCATGTTCTGTAGCCCAAGAATCCTGCGACCACAGACTATGCTGAAGTCCTGCAGCCTGCGGAGAGCTGCGACGCTAGCAGACTGCAGGGGAGTTCTGGGGACCCTTTGGCACCTGGACTTCCTAATGGCTTTCTGACTTCCTGACCTGCATTCTAGAGTAACTAGAACGTAGGTCTTTAAGGCACCAAGTGGTTTTCAGGTCCGCCTCCTGCACACCAGCTGGAGCACTGGACGCCGGGGTCCCTGGCAAATCCAGTGAGCACAGTGAGTCACTTTCAAGGCAGGAAGAGGTTGATTCTCTGGGAAATGGATTTGCAGCCCTGGGAGGAGAAAAGCTGCTCTTCCTCGGGTACATACGTCATCATCTTTGCGATTTCATCCAGGGCCTCTTCTGTGTACGGGAGGTCCTGGCTCAGGAAGGCGTCCCGGACACACAGCCGCACATGGCGGTACTCCAATGGCAGGAAGGGGACAAAGAAGTCAATAAGGTTTTCCTTCACAAGACGGCTGGAGCCAAAGCTACTATCTGAAACCAAGACCCGAAGTTACATAGACTAGAGACTTACGGTGTCCCCCAAATTGAGACCTGGCCAAGATCTAGTTTCCCATGATGCTCTAGGAGTGCTGTCTGCAGTAGGTACCAAGAGCTATGTAGTTGTGGCTGCTTTAGGCTCAGAAGCATGGTGAGTGTGGCTGGGCACGACCACCAGGACTGTGGCTTCATCTGGGCAGGAAACAGGTGAAGCCATCCTCCCTTTGACTGATCTGCCAGACTGTGGGCATCAGAGACCATGGCTGTGCCTGGCTGGGCCAAGGACCCTCATAAGGGCATTTTCAGGGCAGGAGCTTAGGCTTCCTTTTCCTTGTGCTACCAGAAGCTGACCCAGCCCCATCTCGAATTTAGTACATACGCTAACCGCTCCAGCCGAGGCTCTTGGCAAGGCCTATGTATGTGACCTGGTCACTTACCTGTGGACGCTGTGATCTCAGCTTGAAGGAAGGTCTCCAAGTACTGCATCGTAATTTCTTCCCTGGACCACCCAGCCTTAAGCAAACCCAGGACCTCTTTGTTGATGACACTGCCTCCAAGGTTACTGAAAGAAACAAGTGCCTGTTAGCAATTGGTTCTCACACTCACTCCCACGGGTTACCTGACCGCATGGGAGGCTGCTCCAGGGGCAGAGCAGAAAGGCACTGCCCTGCTTCACCCCCATCCTGCCTCCCTTGTTCTTTTGGTAAACACTGGTGAATCTGCTCAGTTCAGGAAACACTCAAGTTCTGTGTGACCTCAAGTCAGATGTGAATGAGAGGACATACACAGCTACTGCCAGGCTCGGGGGAGGGTGTCTGGGCACAAGGATGCAGCAGAGGGCCGTGAGCTTCAAGGGTCAGCGGTAAGCATGAAAGCCAGGCCACGGCTACAGAGAAGGTGCCATGCAGCCCTGAGGATTTGGGGCTAGAAAGTAGGGTGGTGCCCCTTGTTCACTTTATGTCCTCAGAAACCTGTTCTAGGTTATAGGGCATGGAGAAAGTAGAGGACAGGACCGGACTGGAGAGTCAGTTTAGAAAACACTATTAGAAGTCGGAGAGGTGGGATGGAGAGATGGCTGCTCTCCCAGAATTCCCGAGTTTAGTTCTTGGCAACCACATGGTGGCTCACAGCCATCTATGAGATCTGGTGCCCTCTTCTGGCATGCAAGCAGACATGCAGACAGAACACTGTATAAGTAACAAATCTTTTTTAAAAAATATTATGTATACAATATTCTGTCTGTGTGCATGTCTGCAGGCCAGAAGAGGGCACCAGACCTCTTTACAGATGGTTGTGAGCCACCATGTGGTTGCTGGGAATTGAATTCAGGACCTTTGGAAGACAGGCAATGCTCTTAACCACTGAGCCATCTCTCTAGCCCCCAACAAATAAATCTTAAACAAAAAAAAAGAGGAGGTGTCTGCCTGGGCTGCTTGCTGCAGCTTTCACAGAAGCGTGGAACGAAGGCTTCTTTTGCACTGCCTGTGGTCTAAGGGTAGAGAATTACAGGGCTGAGCACAGGAAGATGGCTGCACACTGTGTAAGACAGGAGTGAATGGAAGACAAACCCAGGAAGTCACATCCTGAGGTACCTTCTCCCTGTCCCAACTGAACCCTCACTCTTTCCCCGGCTTCTTCAGGCCACAGAATGAGGGATGTGGTGAGTGAAGGAGCAGGGGAGACGGGCGCAATTCAAACCATGGGGGTCTAGCATCTCCGTTCCTCCTCACAAGGCTCAGAGTGCCCCATACCTCAGAAGAGTTCACTCATAACCTTTTGCTCAGTTTGCATTTGAGTGTGTCCCGCAGTCCCTAACCTGCTTCCCTAGCTGGGTGAAGAGAGACTGGAGCAGGTATCCGTCCCCAGCAAACGAGCAGTGTGTCCCTCGCAGCCACAGGGCTTTAGGCCTTGAGTCCCCAGCTAGAAGAGTCCGGTAGAACAAGGGTGTTCCCGGACCTGCAAACACCGCTTACACCACTCTCTGATTTGTGTTTGCTGCACAGCCCTCTGGGTACATAACTGCATCAGAGAGGCAAGACTGGCCCCACTGCCAGAAACTGCCACGGTAGCCCTGTTCCCACTGTCTCTAGGGGACAGCAGGCCAAAGAGATTAGTGACTTTCTCAGCCCCGAGGACATAGACCTTCCCATCTCAGCCCAGAACACCACCAGCCGGCTTCTTAAACAGTGTCTGCACAATCACCTGCTCTGTCTGCAGCTTGCTTCTAAACTGCCTGAAGCCAGTGTCTTCCTCCCTCCGTGTTACTTACAGGTTGTACCTCTCACAAGACAAAGCCTAGGAAACCTTCAGGGCCCACCCAGCATCTTCAGCTCAGCAGGGCTGCATGCCAGAGCAGACAGATACTAGCTTCCTCCCTCGTCCAGACCCCTGCCAGTTGCATGCTGAAGGGAACACAGTCACTCAATCACGAATATCTTTGCACCTCAGTTTCTTCATTTGTAAAATGAGAGTCTGGGGCCACTTGTCAGTAGACAGTAACAAACACCTACTGTGCACTTGCACATGCTGTGTTCCCAGATAACTCACGTCCATATTGTTCTTTTTCAAAGTCCTTTCTGTTTGTACCCTGACAAGAATTCAAAGGAGATGTTAGCAACCCTCTTCTGGGTGCACGAGAGGACAACACTTCAAGTTCTGCCATGTGCCTGTGGGGCCTTCTGCTGGCAGACACGGGCAGAAATCAACACTACTTTTCTGGTAACATATAGCAAGTGCCTGAATTCTTCTGGCCCGGGTAAGGGATGGGCTTTGGTTCCCCGATTGCTTCAACAGCACCATCTGTGCTTCTAAAAACTCAGGACCTAAGTGTGGACTCTAGGACAGACCAAAATATCCCCGGGGCCTAGTTGGAGCCAAAGTCCCCAGTAAGCAGAATTAGAATGGAACCCTAGATGGGAAGGGAAGGAGGCAGGGATTCTGTCGGCACCGTTCCACCTCAGCTTCAGGCGATTCTGAGTTACCAATCGCTAGACAGCCCTCCACCCTGCCCCACCCCGGGCCTGGCTGCCTTCCTAGCTTATTGTCTGCCTGCTTTTATAGACAAAGCTTGCTCTTTCACAAAATCTTGGCATGATAAAGTTATCCGTGATGGGCAAGCAAGGCCTCCTGGGCATCACCTACTCTGAGTGCCTTCAGGTGCCACAAAAGAGCTGACCTCAACAGCAGGTCTTGGGTTGTCTTTTCAGGTCTAAACTGAGGATTAAATTGACTGTGCCAGGGCTGGGAAGGGCTTAGTGGACAAAGGTATCCAGCAGCCCTGTGAAGAGCTGGCATGGCTGTGTGCACTTAGAACTTCACCTCTGGGGGCTCACCCTGCCTCAAAAGGCAAGGTAGAGCCAAGTGTGATGGCATATGCCTTTACTCCTAGCACACTGGAGACAGATGTGTGTGTGGATCTGTGAGTTCTAGGTCAGCTGGGTGACATTGTGAGACAAACGAAAAAAATAAAAGCAAACAAGGTAGAGAGTGTGATATTGGACATCCACTGTCAACCTCCACACTGCCGAGCACACACATGCACGAATCCTTACCACAAAGGGGAGAGGAAGTGAAGTCCATTAGAGTCTTACATCTCGACACTATTCCCTCATAACTAGAATATCAGGCAATCTTGGGGCACCCTCAGGAAGGGGTGGCCGTGGTTCTGCATGGCTGGAGACAGACTGGCAGAGTGGCCATGACCTCTCCTTGGCAGCAGAGCTGTTGGAAACCACTGCTATGTCTCTTTAAGAGCTCCTGGGTAAGTGAACTCCCCAGAAGGCAAGCTCGGCTGCTATCAGTGGCATCTCCCAGCCCCACCTTTGCCCATGTGAACCCATATGTGTGTGTATATAACTACGTGGCCTCAGACAGTCCACTGAGGTCAGGGCCATTGCCACCTGGTCAGTGACCAAATGTCTGCCTTGAAGTAGGAGGGTCACTGGGTCACTCTCTCAGCCCCTGAAAGAGTTTGCCAAGTTGTGAAGCAGCTGGGTAGGAGAGTCCGTGCCTTAGTTAATGTTCAGCCATCTCTGTGTGTGAGGCTGCCATGGACAGCTGAGGCCACTGTCTCAGAAAGGGTTAAATACTGTGGACGCTGCTCAGTCTTCACTCTGGCACTCGGGGTACGTCACCAAATGATGGGGGGATATCCTTCTGCATATGTGTTACTAAATGCCTCCCTTTTCTTAAGACCACCCTGAGATCCTCAGCCCAATGCCATCCTTGCCTTCCGCATGCAGAAACTCATGTGGCTTAAATCTCTTCCATCTTGAGGAGCCACCCTAACCCCAAACCTGCCTTCCACAGTTCAGCCAGGAGAAAAATCCCTCCTGCTTCCCCAGGGCGCCTGAAAGCCTAGAAAAATCCCACAGGGGTGGCCTCGCAGCTAGGGAGTAAGCAGTGGGTTTGCTGGGGGCTTTGGTGAGCATTCATACTTGGCACGTTTCTTCTCTGCTCCCCACAAAGTCATTTTGGGGATCTGGGTACATGGCTCAAAAGTACAGCAATTCTGGAGTAGCTGCTCTTGCTCACACGTTCCCCCGCTAATGTGAGAGACCTGCCCTTCACTCTATACTCCAGAGAAGGGCCCACCCTGACAGGGCAGGGATCCTGTGAAGGGGTCAAGATTTGTTCTCTACTTAATTTTAGAACCAATAGCTGACTTGAAAACCAAAGCTCCCTTTTTTTTTTTTCTGGTCTCTTTGGCCTCGGCGGCAGAAGCAAGATGACGAAAGGAACGTCATCCTTTGGAAAGCGTCGCACGTTGTGCCGCCGCTGTGGCTCTAAGGCCTACCACCTTCAGAAGTCTACCCTGCCAAGCGCAAGAGAAAGCATAACTGGAGTGCCAAGGCTAAGAGATGAAACACTACTGGGACTGGGCGGATGAGGCACCTAAAAATTGTCTACCGAAGATTCAGATATGGATTCCATGAAGGGAAAACCCCTAAACCCAAGAGGGCAGCTGTTGCAGCATCCAGTTCATCTTGAGGATTTCGATCTGTCATAAAAGAAATGTTCTGGTTTCCAAAATGAAACAAAAAAACCCACCAGAGCTCTTATTCACGAGCCCCCACCACACCCCGTCTGTCTCTATGCAGGAATGTGGCCTGCTGACACCACCTCCACTCGTCCTTGCCTTATATACCCTGCCCATCCCCTCAACCCAAGGGCTGCTCCTCTCTGGGAAAGGGAACTAGACCCACAATGGCAACCCCACCCACCTCTGCGACCTGCCTAGGTCCACATTTCCTGTGAATGCCTTCCACCACAGCCCTCCCTCCTCACCACCGTCAGACAGGGGTTCAAGACTCCCTCCCCCAATAACTGCTGCTTGAGAACAAGCTCTAAGCACCTCCCCAAGACTCGCTATGAGAATCTTCTAGCTCAACAGTGAGTAGGTCTGCTCCTGGTCTTAGAAACCTCACTTATCGCAGGCTCGGCTGGAACTGCTGGAACCCCAATAGAACCTCAACACTGAAGTACCCAAAGACTCAAACCTAAGGCTCAGTTAGTCAATTACCTGACAAGCTGGGTAACAGGAAACAGCTTCCCACACCCACC